CCCTTAAACGCCTCTCCAGTGTAGTCTGACGCTCTTGGAGTGTTCTTATTTCCATTTGAGCAGCTATCATTTCCACATGGAGCATGTCTGCATGATGTCTGGTTTCATCATGATCTCTGTCTAGATGATGAATATTTGCGGCGTTTTGTTGGGAGGCAGCCGTGACTTCTAGGATTTGGTTGATTGAAACCCTCGCTTGATCGGTTTGACGAGCTATACGATGAACAATGACAGGGAGAGCCCTGTCGGCTGACCCTTCGTTACTGAGGTCATAGAAATCTCGGCACATTCCATAAGGTGGGCGCTGAACCTGTTGTCTGCTCCAATGGTATATGTGGTCTCCCCAAACTGGCGTCGACCCTTGATACCCTTGTCGGACTGGGGGAGATGGGATGGCTTGTGGGGGATTGTATACTGTAGGTTCCGTATCCGTACCACTTGATTCGCTATCTTCAAATGGTTCTTCATCTGAGTCTTCTTCCGGATCATCCACTACCCATCCTTCGTTGCCATGGTTTGGATAATAAGGGTCCCCTGGTAGATGATATCCTGCGATTGTGTCTGTACGAGAATAAGGTCATGAGAAATGCATGAAAAATTAAAGCATATCGATGTTTAAAATATTCTTATAGTATTTTATGTTCTGTTCTAGAGTTTCTTCTGTAGTTGGTAAGTTTTAGACATGTCACAACACTACTATCACTCCCAAACACATGTTAGTCATATCTGAAATCAATATAGTTGATCAGGCTATATTAATTCTAGATATGATTACATAACTGCCCAATTTTGACTGTAATGTTCAACATCCAAATACTTTTAAGTTCTTATGACTATGTACTTGTAGGTATGAGTGTTAGTATACTTCTTGTAAAAATACTTAAAGTTTTAAAAAGTATACTTGTAGTCAGAGCTCCTAGCCCCAATGTAGTTATAGTTTGTATATCTTTTATGGATTGATATACTGAGTTCACTATAAACAATGCTCTGATATCAATCTATCACACCCCCAAACCAGACGGCGGAAACGTCCGGGGGTGGAGGACTTCATTTGTAGTATCACAACACATGCATCATAGTAATCAAAGTACAAACAACCATTGTATTTAAAAAGTATAAGTATTTACATGTGTTCAATCAATGTATATTGAAACCAAAATAGTTATACAATAAAAGAAGATATGACTCAAAATAGCTCCATCTTCTCAAAAAGCTCGGGGAGTACCTGTTTATTATTTCCCTGCGAATACAAGTAATTTGAAAAGAGAATATCAACAATAAGTTGAGTGAGTGCATAAGTCTTTATGTTTGAAAGGATGTCTCTGTATCTTGAATATGAAAAATGTTCCAGAAAATCCCATATTTTCTGTTGTATATGAAAAGTAGTTTTATTCCCATAAAGCTGTTCTATTTGTAAACTAATGTGCTGTATTTGTAAAACTTGTAACTGAGAGTGTGCCTGGTTTCACCAGCTGTTATTGAAAACTGTAATATACCATTGTACTTTGTATTTTGTAAACTGGTACTTTGAAGATGTACTTACGTTTAGTTGTTTATACACTAACGTGTTGTTAATATCTTTTTAATGAGTTATTATAACCATACTGTGACTGAATGGCTTGAAACAAACGCTTTGTAGGAGTTTAAACTGTTGATAACAATTGTCACTCATTGGCGTGTATGCCTGACTGTAGCTAGCAGTCTGAGTGCGGGGTTGTCAATCCCAATATAGATCTACACACACCTTGTTTCGATTCCCTGACTGGAGACTCTGGTTATAATTATCAGGACTTTAACTTGGTTGTTTAAATGAATTTAAACAATCTGTATTGAATGTCTCATAAAAAGCATATAAACGTTACATGTATAATGAAAACCCAATCATTCTGAAATAGATGAATGATTGTATGTCCGTGAATTAGTATTCTTGACATGTATTTGAAAAATGTAAACCCTTGATTTGTTTTGAATCAAACCTTTGTTTCTTGTAAAACGGTGTATTCTAGTATACTTGAATCATGAATTACTGTTCTATGTATCATAAATTATACCTATTATAATTTATATGTACTTTATGAATTGGTCTTTATCTATTTTTACATGTAACCCTTTGCTCAACATGTTACAAGGGTAATTAAACTGATGAAATAACTTTTATATTTATATACATATACTATTTTATATATAAGTAAAATTTAAACGACATTCAGACCAATAACCGGTACTATAAGTCCACATCCAAACAAGGAAAAGGACCTAGAATGAGTTATTAGTCCTAAACCTTTTAAATCTTATTTATATTAATATATATATATACAAATATGAATTTTTGGGAAAAATATAAGTTTATAAAAGAGTTCAATATATTGGAGTATTTTTGATGTTTTAAAATAGTTTTATCGTGATTTGAAATCATTTATTTGTAACACAAAGTTCTTGTGTTATACTTGTATTTCCCCCCTTAGAACAGTAAAAATTATGAAAATACGGGGGTATGAACTCACTTGATAAGTGGTGATTTAGATAGCGTTTCCTTTCCTGAAAAGGAGTTTATTTGACGAAAAACCGGCTTTAATTGGGCAGAGTTTCGACTGGAGAAAGGTTGTTTTTCTCGGGAATCTCGGGGCTTCGAGGCTTGCTTAGAGTTTGAGATAAGATACCGGGGCTTTAGGGGTTGTATATAAGTTTGTGGAAGTGAAATATGTGAAAAAGGGTGAAAAATGGGGTGAAATATGTGAAATATCCGAGAAGTCTCGCACCCTTTATATAGGGGTGCGAGGGTGCGGTCCGAAGGTGAGTCAGCAGCCACGCGTCGTCAGCAGCGACGGCCACGAGGCCGAGGTCCGAATGCAAGACAGGGAAGCGAGGGGTGTCGGATCCGGAGTGGACCGAACTTCTGTCCAATCAGAAGGTGCCACGCGAGACTTCGGTCTAATCAGCAGACGACACGTAGCGGACACGGGGAGGCCTCGCATCCGAGGTGACGTGGCAGAAGGATGACCATGCGATTTTTCCCGGTTTTCCATATTTTCTCGGTTTTTGAGCCAAAACCTTCTAAAATTCATAACTTTTGCAGAACTCCGTTTTTGACGTTCTTTATATGCACACGTAGGTAAAATTATACTCTACGACTTTCGTTTAGACTTCGTCGGCTAATTTTGAATTTATTTTTAATATTATTATTTTTAACAGACCGGGACAGGAAAATCCATTAAAAATTCATAACTTCTTCAACCGACGTCCGTTTTTATCTGTCTTTTTACCGTTGTACTACTATTGACGAGACCTTCAATTCTTGTTTAGGTTCTGTCGGCTAAAAATCACTCGATCTTTATTTCGTGTTTTTAGCTGTACACTGCTATACTAAAACTTAGAAAAATCATAACTTCCTCATACGAAGTCAGATTTTGGCGTTCTTTTTATGAAAGTTCTCCGTTTAACATAAACTACAACTTTCATTTAGATTGTTAAGGCTAAAAAGCCTTTTATTGAAAATTCAGTTTTTACACTGAACAGTGTTTTGCCGGTTTGGTCGCGGATCTTCGATTGGTCATAACTTCTTCGTTATAACTAGGATTTTAGTGTTCTTTATATTTTTGGAAACCTTGTTACAATCTCTACCACTTGGTTCATCCCAATCGAGATCGTTTAATACTTTATTTTTGAGGGTCAATTATGTAAATATACACAGTATGCTAAAATTTCTCTTTATTATTTTAAAAAGAAGTACAAATTGACCTACACTATTACATAGGTTTGAAATAACGGTTTGTTACAGTGTATGCCTTCTCACACGACGCCTAAGAACCCAAAAGATAGTTTGCAACCATTTACCCACCATATGAATAGCAAACAAAATATCATACCAAGTAAAAACTCAAAACTATCTATAATGGCACGACCAAATTTTCAACGTTATGGGTTTAGGATAATCACATGATTTTCATAATTTACAACCTTGGATAAAGATTTCAAAGTTAAATTTGGAGCATTAGTGGTCATATGTTCCATCTTTTAGGAGAACATGGGTAAAAAGTACAAGTTCAAATGGTACCTATTACCTTTTATGCTCAACCTTTTCTTTCTGAAAAACTTGTTCATCTATAGTCATCCTGGGGTTATGTGCTGTAGATACAACAGACAACTCTATAATAAAAATGATAAACTCGAGAGTAAATTACCCAATTTTCGGTTGGTCATTAATTTTTTAATCGGTGATGCAAAAAACTGATCCTAATCATGTTTTCCATTGTGAAATGTAATGAGAGTGCAAGTACTAGCATAGTATGATATCTAATGGATTGTCCGTTACACCATTACTAAACTGGTTGTTGGTTTCCAACGAAATTGATTTCTATCAAATTGTTGTTTTCCACACCGATCTGGTTCGGTTTCCAATTTTTTAATGCACCTCTAATTGTCATCGTGTTTTTATATGCTATGAATATATGAATTTTTCAGGATATCTTGTTTCATACAAAACAGGGGAAATGGCCACCCATGGTGTTGGTGGCAAATATATTGATATGGGAGACTTAAAAACCCAAGCCAAATTACATATTGCATACAGGAAAATAAGAAATGAAAAATAAAAATTAGATGACATACTAAGGCCCCGTTTGATACGCATCTTTCCAGGTCCAAACATATCTTTCTGGCTGAATGGACCGGAAAGACTGTTTGATTTGCACAAAAGAATGGGTCTTTCCCGGTAAGATATGTCTTTCCCAGAAAGCCCCAAAATCATATCTTTCTGGCTGAATGGGCTGGAAAGACAATTATACACCAAACCCCGCCTCTTTCTTTCTTTATTGGATTATTAATTTTTTAAAATAACTTTTTTTAAATTTATTTTTTATTGAATTATTACTTTTTTTCATCATTCAGAACAGTCAATCAGATGTACAATCAAACATCATGATTTCTTTCCCAGTCAGAAAACTTTCCCAGACAGCATTTACCAGACAGCACTTTCCCAGACAGAAACTATCAAACGGGACCTAAGTCTGTCGAGCCTTTTGCAAACTTGAAATGAACACCACCACCTTCACATAAACCCAATCTTTGAAGCTGTCATAAAATTGAAAAAATGCATGTCTCCCTCGACGGTTGAGAAGTAAAGCGCCACATGCTATCCAAAATCCAGTAGCAAAACCCATGCCCCCACCAATATAAAACCATCCCCATTCTTCCCCATCACCCTCACCTTTACCAATAAGAGGTGGTACTTTTGATTCTTCATCTCCAGGACAACTTTTGGTAAGAGGAGGTCCACATAGACGTGCATTTCCATTGTATCTTGAAGGTTGAAAAGATTGGAGTTGAGTGCTGGTTGGGATTTTCCCAGACAAGTTATTAAATGACAAGTCTAGGTCATTCAGTAAGGTCATCTGAGACATGCTTGATGGTATCCTCCCTGATAAATTGTTTCTGGATAAATCCAAAGTTAGAAGATTTTTCATCTCACCAATATGCTGTGGAATCTCTCCAGATAGAGCGTTCATTGAAAAATTCAGGGCAATCAAGTCATAAGGATTGGTAATTTCATATGGGATTTGTCCTGTTAGATTGTTTCTTGACAGGTCAATGCTCTTCACCAATTTCAGAGTGCTAAAGAATTCTTGTTCATCTCCTTGCCACTGAATCATTCCATTGAGATTGTTCATTGACAAGTCTAGAATTTGAAGACTAGATAACTGAAATAATTGTAAAGGGATGGTTCCAATGAAGTTGTTTGATCTTAGGATAAGAACATACAGCCCTGATAAGTTTTCTCCTATCCAAACAGGCACATTACCAGAAAACTTGTTGGCCCCCAAATTCAATGAGATTAAACTCGTGCAATTTTTTAAAGACAAAGGCAATTCTCCATAGAAGTTGTTCTTGTATAAATACAACACCTCGAGTTGTATCAATGATCCAATTGAGGGAGGAAGCCTTCCAAAAAGATTGTTGTGTCCGAGATTAAGAACTGTTAGGTTTTTGAAATCCCACAAACAGTCCGGGAGTTGTCCGTTAAATGAGTTATGAGAGAGGTCAAGAAAGTATAAAATCCCATCAACAATTTGGCATATAAAGGAGATTCCTCCAGAGAATTTGTTTCTGGAAAGATTTAATATTGTCAATGTGAAAGAAACATTCGGTACCAGACCAAAAAAGCTGTTGGAACTCAAATCTATCTCCGAATATTTGGCAAAATTTGATAATAAATCTGGTAGTTTCCCACTAATGTTGTTGGAAGAGAGATTCAGATATTGTAATTGAGAAGGCCACATGTACCAAAACTCTAGAGGAATTGTGTCTGAAATTCCAGTATTGGAAAGATCAAGATACCTAAGATTTTTGAGTGTCTGAATCCATTTGGGGAAGCCAGTCCCTAGCAGCTTGCAAGACCTCAGATCAATTTCCTTTACATATGAAAGGCCTGACAAGTGATATGTGGAAGGAACTGTAAGATTATTAAAAGAAAGGTAAATGAATTCAAGGCTGGGTAGTTCCCACAGTTTGTCACTTATACTTCCATTTAAATGATTATGAGATAAGTCCAACCATTCTAGGGATGAAAACTTTTGGATCACATTGGACAATGACCCTGTAAATTGGCTTCCATAAGCAAAGAATTCTTTTAATGCAAGTGATGTGCATCCAGACAAGTTGTTGAGAAAATCAGGAAATTGGACTAAAGCAGAGTTGTTACTGAATTCCAAATCTTCCAAACTACAGAGGTTACCAAGATATTTGGGTATCCCATCTAATATGTTGCCAGAGAGATGAAGGAATCTGAGTTTATTGCTGGTCAATGGGAACAACCAACGATACATGGATGAGGTCAGATTGTTGTCTCGGAGAGTAAGGTCAACAATAGATGAAGAAGAAGAAGAGTTGAGAAATGAAGAAGAATATGGATACATGACCTGTGACAGCTCACATCCATTTAAACTTAAATGTGAGAGTTTCCGGAGACTCAGAACTACATCTACCCAGTGATTTTGTTTGGCTAGGGAAATCCCACTTATTACAAGTTCCTCCAAATGAGAGAGATGAGACAACCACTCTATGTTTTCAAATCTACATCTCCCCATGTATGATAGGGAAAGCTGTTGCAAGCTGCTGAGGTTTCCAAACGCTGTAGGAATGGTTCCATAAAAAGAGTTAAAAGAGAGGTCAAGGCGCCTTAATTTGATCAAGGAACCAACTGACCTGGGAATGGTTCCATAAAGAGAGTTATAGGAAAGGTCAAGATACCTTAATTCAATCAAGGAACCAATTGACCTGGGAATGGTTCCATAGAAAGAATTTCCAGAAAGATCAAGACGACTCAAGTAGGTTAAGTTAAGCAATGAATGGCTTATCTCACCTTCAAGCCAATATCCATTGATATCATGCCCTGTGACATGACCTGTTTGGTTGTTGCAGGTGACTCCACTCCATTTACAGCAGTCATGTTCATCAGCTGTCCATGTAGAGAGACGTTCATCAGGGTCATGAAGGGGAGCTTTGAAAAGAAGGAGAGCTTGTCTCTCTGTATCCAAACACTTTTTCATAACACCATTTGTATCATCTCCTCCTTCTCCCACTGCTACCAATTGGCTGGCAGTTGCAGTCACAAGGAGTAGGAAGAGAAGTGAGAAAATTATAAAAACACAAGGATTCATAATGTAGATCAAAATGAAAATCTTGGGATTTTTGGTTTGTAATGATGCCTTCCTATATGAACTGCACCTATGAGTGTTTATATAGTCTCCACTGTGAGCATAAATGATTCTAAACGGGTGGCCTTCAATTAATTAATTTTGTGGAGCATAAGAAAAAATCAAAGATGAAGATTTGAAATAAATGCCCAAAATTAGTCGTTCAAAGACTTGCAAGTCTTGACAATTTGCATATATTATCTATATCTTATCTGATTACATGATATATTCAAAGAATTTATAGTGATGTTGACCATAACCTTTACTAAATACAAACATATAAGAATGTAAACACAAACATTGAACTGACCCCCAAGTTAACAACAACTATTTCATAAATCTCGTATTCCCATTCCATTGTTAAACAATTTATGTTTATGCTATCCTATGAGTATTTTTATGAAATCAATTAGAAAAGTTTTAGCAGAAAAATATCTAATTTATCATATTAATTCAAAAAATTTCGAACAGAAACAGAAACATAAAGTCACTATTCAACAGAAAAGAAAAAACAAAAATCAAACAAAAATCAAAAGAAACGTCATTAACAGAAAAAATAGATAACAGGGATGAAGAGAAGAAATGCGTTGAGTATTAGTGATGACCAATTACCTGACGGAAAACCAAGAAGATGACAAAGGTAAGCGGCGTCTTCGACGACAGTGGAGAGGTACAAGCGACGAGTTCCAAATTAATTGGCTTTTACAAAAAAAGTCCCAAAATTTTGACCCAATGTTTGTTTTAGTCTCAATTTAATTTTTTTTTACAAAAAAATCCTAAAACCGGCAAAATGTTGCATTATGACCAATTTCTACGACCGGTAACAAATTAATTTGACACTGTTTCGTAAACTGACCTAAAATATAGGAATTTTTTCTATAAATAAAATTATTATTTTTGTCAATTTATTTTATTATTTTTATTACTTTGTTAAATATGTAAATAAATATATTATTTTTTTTAAATTCGTTATTATTAATATTATTAAATAAATACATATATATATATATATATATATATATATATATATATATATATATATATATATATATATATATATATATATATATAAACGTATTTATTCATAAAACGTATAATTATAAAAAATACGTATGAAAATCATATTTATATACTTTAAAAACGTTTTAAGGTGTAGCTATATATATGGGACATCATCATATTTCACGTTTCTATTCGAATAAAAATGGAAACTTCCATAAACTGTTAATCGTAGATTCTTAGGGTTCCTCTCCTGAGTACGATTTTCCAAAAGATGAAAACTAAAACAAAGAAAAGAGAAAAAGAATAAACATATGACAAAAGGAATCGTTGTAACCTACCATAGTTTATTCGTTGGCATTAACAATGGAGAAGAGGTGATGCTAGGGATTTTCGTGAAAATAAACTCTATAAGAATATTAGAGTCATTGAATCCATCTTGAAACGTCTCTTCATCCTAGACCATCACATAATTAGCATGTGGGGATAGGTAAACAATAAGTTAAGAAAGGGACGGAGGCAGATGGTAGTGTTGATGGTGATGTTGTGGCGACTTTGGTAGCGGTTATAGCTGCGTTGAAGGCTCCATTACGGTAATGGTAGCGGTGGTGACAATGTTGAGGGTCTACAAAGAAGGTTCACTAATAGAGAGGTGAATCATGTATTGTTCTTGAGAGTGCATAAAGTTTATGGAGAGTTTTTGCATTCACTCTTTACTCCACCAAATCACTAGATTTGAACTTTGAACAGGAACTAAAGCTAATGGAGTTCTTCAAACTCCATGAAACAAGTCATGAAGGGACCAAAACTCATTAAAATGGACCAAAACACCAGATACTCATAGATCTACTGATGAAATACAATAAAGCTTGGAAATTTATGACTTAAAAAGGTCTAAAAGGTGAATGGAGGTTGAATATATCATATACAAAGCTCCCTTGATTATTCTTTATTGTTTACTTCACGCTAGAGCATTAAAGATCACCAAATGAGGACCAAAAATGAAGTTTAGGAGAGAGATTGAGTTCCAAAGCCCTTCAATAGAGGCTAAGGTATCATAAGGGTTGGTCAAGAGGTGGTGAAGGCTGAGAAATGACAAACCGTATGCGTTAATGGCCTTTAAATACTCCGAAACCCCCAAAACTGAGCAGCCCATTGGGTCAGAGCCCCCCCCCCCCCCCCCCCCCCCCCGGCTATCTTAAAGGGCGCTCCATGCTTCACATATAAATTTTGGATTTTTCATTTTCTAGCTTCAAACAATCATAAATTCTTTTTTCTGAACTCGATTTCAGTGATCTTTATATGCACGTGAAGGTATTAACAAGCACTAAAATTCTCTTTAATTACTTTTTACTTAAATCATAAAAAACTTATATCATAATACATGAAAAAAGTCCTGAATATCACTTTTTTCCCATTTTACCCTTTATGGCTTCAATACATAATCTGGTGGCTTAAATCACTTTAACCAACATTATCAACATCTAATAAGGTATAAACTTTATCCTTTTGAATCCCGATACCTTCTCTTGACTAAATTAAAGTCCGTCATTTCGAAATAAGAAACTTCTCGATAGCAAATGTTACACTCTTATAGGAAAGAGGAATTCTTAAAGAAGCTAATTTGTAGAGAAAGCTTAATCTTCCTTCTCTTGAAAATAAGGTTGGAAAAGATGCAAGTGGGATCAAAACCCGTTCCTAGTACAATACAACAAAGATCTGAAGCCACTGTAAGGACAAGATCACCTTATCTAAATCTTTTTTTTATACCTCGATGATGGAACACGGATGGACTGCAGCCAATTAAATTATATATTATTTGTTGATGACTTTCTATAACACCAAGTTTCTAGTGTGATTACTCTTAAAGTTTTGCTAATTAAAAATCTTAAATTGTAAAGTTTGTGGTGACCAGAACGTGGTGAAGGATGCACAACGACGTGGTTATGGCCTAATGAAATGCGGAATCATTTAGGTATGCACGCTGTGGAATTATATTGGCTACGACGTAGAGACAACTAGGTTGCAAAACCCTATTCTTTGGGATTAGGGACCTTATTTAAGGGATGTGATGGCTACCGTTTGTACACCCTCAACCTCAATCTATAACATCCCAAAAATTATAAGGTAAAATTTTCATTTTTAATTCAACCTTAAAACAACATTTATCCTTTTCAATCATTCAAAAGCATATCAAGGTAAAAATAGTTATCAGAGTACAATCCCAAAATCACAAAGTGCGGAAACATGGGTGGATGCGCTGCGATCAAGTCAGGCCCTTCTCTTTCGAACCGAAAGTACGTGAAACCATAACCAAAAAACTGTAAGCACAAAGCTTAATGAGTTCCCCAAAATATTACATACTATAAATACATACATCCATCGGGCCCTGCTCGACATCAGGTCTCGCCTGGTATTCATCAGGCCCCGCCCGACCTCCATCAGGCCCAACCAGATATAGATATGTCTGTAACATGCGATGGGCCCCGCCCAACACACTCACCAGGCCCAACCTGGCATCGGGCCCCGCCCGTCATACATACAAACACATACAATACATGCAAGAGTCACACGGACAACTAGCATTCTTATAACAATAATCTATGGGTCAGTATTGGTGCCTTCGACCCGCCAAACACAGTGAGGAGACTCACCTCAAACCGAGATAATCGAAACATACACGCTGCTGCTACTGGGTTCCTCACATTGAACACAACCAAATTATCTCTAGTCAATAATTAAGATAATTCCTCATAATCCAAGGTCTAAATCATTTTCTATCATTACAATAATTCCTCATAATCCAAGGTCCAAATTATCCCTAGTCAAATTATCCCTACCGGGTTCCTCACATCTGATCCAACAACTCATGGCCCAAATTCCAAAAGACCCAAGGTCCAACAGTCCCAAAAAGAGAACCTTGCGAGTATGCCCCGCGTACCAGACTCGTACACCCCGCGTCTGCTCGTTGATGCTTAAGGTACAACTCACCACAACATGAAATCGGGAAGACATGCATTACGTTGAGCGTACGTATATGTACACCCAACGTACCCCCTTAGTGACCATTTCTCATTTTAGGACATCATGCTTAAGACCAAAACGTCCAAACTCAGATCTAATCTCAAAACATCGACTTAAGTCATAAAGTTTTCACCATTATGATTTTCCACGGTTAGAAAACGTCCAAAAGATAAAACCCTAACTTATTTATCCATTAAGACATCTTAACTCTTGCATGGAAGGGATAAGAAGTCCAAGATCACATTTTTATGGTTCCTAATAACTCCATAATGGATAAAATTTCCAACATTTTCTATTAGAATGGTCCAAACAACCAAGACCTAGTCTTTAAGTCTCCAAGGGACCTAAAGTGAATCTTTTTCAACTTAATCCATTAAGTCAAAGTCTCCAACCTTCAAATCTGAATCAATATGATGTTTAGTTGGATAAAGTTTCCAACTTTATCCATAACAAGGTAAAAAATGTTCAAGATCTAAACTTTATGCACTAAAGTGACCAAAAGATCATAACACCCAAAACTAGCTAGATCTAACAAATGCATCATCAAGATTCAATCTTTCTACCTCCAAAAGAAATATCAAGGTGAACAAGATCTAGATCTACAAGCTCTGATGCAACCAACACTTCTCCAATGAGCTCCTTCTTCTCCAAGATACACCAAGAACACTCCAAAGCACTAAAGAACACCTTCTTTTGCTCACAAAGCTAAAACTAGGGTTAGGGTTTCAAGGGAGTGTGTTGGAGGGGTGGAGGCTGAGAATGGAATGGGTTGGGGAAGTTAATGAGCTTAAATAGGGCTTAAACCATGAAAAGAGGGTTTGGGTACTGATCGTGTACGCCCAACGTACTCTTGGTACGCCTAGTGTACCAGGGATGCCCAGTACACCCAACGTAGTTCCTGTACACCCAGCGTACTAGACTAAGCCCAAAACCATCCTAGC